TCAGTATTATCAAGGGTATGTTATCAGATCACCCAATAAATCTTCTAAAACTAAAAGCATTTGGGTTAATAAAGCTGATTATGTTTCATCTCATACACTTGTTGTTACTAACTCTGTTCTTCCTTGCATTGTGAGATCCACTAATGATCTGATCAATCTTAACAAGAGAAGAATTATGTGCTCAACATGCAGAACCAATGATTTTGTCAATAAGAAAAGGTTCGACAGGTGGCATGGAGATAAAAACTATCAGAACAGTTGGAAAGGTAAGAACAGGTATGATCATAATAACTGGTATGGATCATATTCTATTTTTGATCATCCTGTTCAAAGTGCTAAAAAGAACATATCTAATAAGAATAGATGGTTTGGAAGTTACAACAAACCCCAACCCGTTACTAACAAAATAGGACCCAAGTTCGTTTGGGTACCAAAATCTATTTAATCTGGTTTTGCAGGTGTGTCAAAATTTGTGCTGATCAGAATATCATATCAGTGATACACTAATTCAGGGGGAGTTGTAATCCAAATAAGGCTTCTAAACACCCAATTTAGGACCCGACTTAAATATAAAGGCTTTTGAATACATCTGATCAGAACCCGTGCTTAAACATTTTGGTTTCTAAACACCCAGTTTAGGACCCGTGCTAAACATGTTTCCATTTTTTTATTTTTTTGAGCTAAACTGAAACATTACTTAAATCAATTTTTTAGGGGGAGTTTCTAGAAGTTTTTCAATAAAAGTTTTTGATAAATGAGTTGTTTTTGGGAAACGAGTACTTTTTCTGAACAAGTATTTCCTGAGATTTTACTTGTGTAATTTCTCATCGATCATAACTCCAATACCTGTTTCAACGATTCTTCAAATTGTTATTATCACGTCTCTTATATATAAATCATTTTCGGTGATAATACACTTGTTTGTATTCAAATGTTGATTTTTTTTCTAATTTTTTTCTTGATTGATATACATTTTTTTATCTGAATCTGTAAACTCGTTCTTACAGATCTTCATTCATTTCTCTCGCATATCGAATAATATGATCGTTGTCGCATCATTCTTTCATTGATTGTGTTTAAAAGCCAAATTTCTTGATCAATTTTTGTCTGATCATTATGCTTATCTAAAATAATATTTTTGATCAACTGTGCATAATGCTAAATTTTAGGAGAGACTGAGTGCTTATCAGAAATACCTCAACGGAAGGTCAGAATCGACAAACCTACCCATGAGGATAACCATATTTGAGTGAGCTTTATATACAAAAGGGTTTGTGTCCTGAGACTAAAATGAAAATGAGAGGGGTAGCTGTTGTGAGCTAAAAGAATTGACGAGAGTTGTGTCAGGATTAAAAGAACATAAGAATCCTGTTCCAAACTTCTAAAATCCGGGCATACCATACAATCTATTAGTTCTCAATTCTTTTGGAGACTAATATTGAAAAAGGCAAAACCCAGGCCAATTCTTGTCACAACCCCACCAATTACTCATTTATCTCTCAACAGATAAGTGTTTCAATAACACTTGGGGCACGCAGCTCATCATCTATCAATTTCTCATTCAGAGAAAGTTGATATTGAAATCAGAAGGATATATGTCCCCCCTTCAAGTCTTTTTGATCACTAATTGAGTCAGATAAATTTGTGTAGTCCGCACGGTTTATCTTTTTGAGCCTAAACAGAAGCATATGTTGATTTATCTTTCTACACTACACATATTTTGTAATTTATATGTTATTTTGCCAAAACATTCATATATATACTTTTCATAAGATATCGATGATTGAATGGAAGACCTGGTGAGACGAACCTCAAAAAGTCTCATATATAAAGTACATCCGTTGTACTGAGTATATCTGTTATACTCACAGGCCAATCTTTTTATAAGATTGAAAACAATTTCATTCATTGAAATTGGTTGTTATCTTCCCATTCCCTTAATCTGAAAAGATTAAATAAGTGGATTTGAAAAGATCTACTTACAATTTTATGAATTGACGGCTTACGCGGAGGATTTCATTCATTCTTGTGTATGATGGAATGATTCTCATTTCATCATAAGAGGGAGCATGTAATAATGAATGAAATGTCCAATTCCGAATATTATAAGGGGAATTTGATGTAAAGATCAAGGGGGAGTAACTTCAATATTGGCAAAAGACTCAAAAGAAGTGCGACTGGAGATGATTTCAGAAAATTATTCCGATGCTAAAATAACTGAGAGATGTTGAATGTGAAGATCCATTTTACAACAGTTTACTTAAGATCAATTCTGAAATTCGTTATTGTTTCTATTCTACATTGTCAAAAGAGAAGATTATCGTTGTTCTACATTCGAGGGGGAGAATGTTAGAAGATCTTTCTCAACAAATGATTGTTTGAAGATTTCGTGTCGAAGATTGTTTTTGAAGAAGACATAATGTGCTTAAAGCTTCAAAGTTCATACAAGGCTCAAAGCGCACAATTTCTTTCAAGTCTGAATACAAAGGGGGAGAATGTTAGGAATGAAATTCAGTGTAAAATTGTATTTGTCTTGAAAGATAAAATTGTCTATAATTGTTTAAAAGTCATCGTGTTTGACTTTTCTTTAAGATAGTTTGACTTTGACTTTTTGTCTTGTTTGACCCTATATAAAGGGTATTTGCCTTTGTATTTTGTAAGAGAGTTCATTGTAAAATCATATTCACGTAAAGAAAGTGTTGACCAAGAATTCAGATCTTGACTTTCTCTCTCTCTACTCCTTCTAGTGTTCTTACAAGAAAACATATTCTGCCACTGTTGATTGAAGGTTTTATGGAAGATTGATTATATTGGGACAACACTCTTGATAGTAATACAAGAATTAATATTGATTGACATTGATTTTCGAGCAGCATATTCAATTTTGAAAGAATTTGTATAAGTTTTGAGTTGAAAATCGAAATCTGTTGTGAAATATTCAAGATCTTCAAAGTTATCGCATTGTATATATGCTTAGTTATCGCATTGTGTATATTCAAAGTCATCGAATTACTTATATATGACAATTTGAGTTTACCGCATTCTAAATACGCGACAAGTTGAGTTTATCGATCCTAAATACGCGACAAGTTGAGTTTATCGCATTCTAAAGACACAACAAGTTGAGTTTATCGCATCTGAAGGACCCGACAAAGTTAGGTTATCGCATCATAAGGACCCGACAAGTTGAGATTCTTGCATCAGTTCAATGCGACAAGTTACTGTTCACACGTAGTTAGGTAAGGAAAATATTTGAAGGAAAAAGAAGATTCACAAAAGATTTCCAATGAGAAAATATCTGATTTATCAGATAAGCTAGTTTTTTTTTTCAAAGAGAGAGACTAGCGACTATGTTTTGATGTACGAAGAAGTTT